TTTAAATAATATTTGTCTAATTGTTCTCTTAGATCCATACTTTAGAAATTTTCCATATTCTAACTGCTAAATTCTAGTTGACTTTACTAACCTAATTATAGATTCTAGAGTTTCACCAAAATGTTTTTCCAGGAAGTTTAAGCTGGCATCAATTCTTCTAGTTAGAGGTAATAGATTACAGAAGAGGAAGGAAAATGAAGTCAAACACAACAATCAAAAATGTAGCCACCATGTAAGGTAACCAGATGCATTTTTAAAAATATTACAATTCAATATAATGGAACAATTGTGTATTAAGTGCCTACTGTGTTTAGAACACTTTGTTGCATGCACATAAGATACAAAATTTAGATAAGAAACAGTTCCTGACCTCAAGGAGCTTCAAATCTAGTAAGGAGATCAAATACCAACATTTTAAAAAAAAATTATTTTTTATTTATGAACACAAGCATTTCCATAACATAGTACAGGGAAGGGGAACCTTCGGCCTCTAGGCCACATGTGGCCTTCTAGGTCCTCAAGTATGGCCCTTGGACTGAATTCAACTTCAATAAATGTTATATAGCCTCAAGATCACAGGTTCCCCACCCCTGAATAACAGAATTTTAAAAAGGCGATTACACATGAAACTGCAAATCAAATATGTACAACTTGTTATTCCTTTTAAATATATAATAAAGTTATCAAGTAACTTTTTTTCCTTTTTTTCCCTCCCCCCATGCTAGACATGGCTACATTAGACACAAATATGTATGTGTGAGTGTGTGTGTGTGTGTGTGTGTGTATGTAAAAGCGTTCTCTACATCTATTTATCAGTTCTTTCTCTGGATGCAGATAACGCCTTCCTTCACATGACCTTTGTAGTTAATTTGGGTATTTAAAATAATCAAAATGACTTAGTTACTCAAAATCGTTCTTAAAACAATATTGCTGTTACTGTATAAAACTTTCTCTTGGTTCTGCTCATTTTGCTCTTCATTATAAAATAATGAATTTATATATTATATTGATATATTGTAATTATATATATAATTATAAACTAGTATTTATAGACATAAAATACATTATTCCATGATAAATGCTTTAGAGAGTCACAAAGTAATGTGTAAGAGTGAAGGTTGCTGTCAGTAGTAGGGGTGGGGAAAGATAGCTGCTGGGCCTTCCTGGACACGTAAGTGGCATTGGAGTGGGCTTTAATGGATGGGTAGAAATTTTACAGGAGAGAAGAAGAATCACAGGCATCTCAGGGACAATGAATGACTTGAAATATGAGAGTGCTTTGCATATGCAGAGACAGAGAAATGTCTAGTTCTACTCAAGTCTAGAATCCATGGAGGGGAATGACATGAAGTAATACTAGAGAGGTAACCTAATAACATGTTGTAGAATGCTTTGAATACCAAACAGGAATTTGAACTTGACTTGAGAACAGTGATAATGATGATGATTATAAAAAAAAAAAAAAACCTAGCATTAAGAAAGCACTTCACAAATATGATCTGATCTGATTTGATTCTTCCTACAACCTTGGATAGGGACCAGTGAAGATCTTGAGCAGAACAGTAACAGGACCAGATCTCAGTGTAAGAATGATCTATTATTAGGGTTGGACCACCCCAGAGGACAGTGAGAAATTTGCTAACTTCTGCATCTTAAGAACGTGTCCATCTTTACTGTATAAACTGCTGCTTAACCCTTTTTATACTCACAGAAGTGACATGAAATAACCAAAGGACAGAAGCAAATCCCAAAGCAGTACTGACAGACTTCCACATTAAGATAAGACTTCATTTTTGACCCCTTCACTTCTAAATAGCATTCGCCTGTATGGAGTTTAGTGTAAAATTACAGGCAATGAGTGATACAACAGAGGGTCCACTTTATGTTTCCTTGAGTCATTAATGATATTATGGTGACCCAGAATTTCTAAGGCTGCACTAAATGGTTTGTTTCTATTTTTGATGATCTATGCTATGTCTTTTACACTCTCATACATTTTTCTTTTTCCATGAGGAATGTATCTATTTGCAAGTAAGGAGTTTTAAAATGGGTGCCATATAGTTTCCTATGGGGATGCCATGGATTATTTTTTGTATCTTTTTCATTTCTAAATTCTGTTATTTTCACTCCAGTCATAACCTCATTAGTGATCTCTGGTTTTGCCATTTTGTGACATTTCATGTGTGTGTTGCAGAATTCCTCTGGGGCTATTTAAAGCAAGGGTGGTGAACCTTTGTTCCATGAAGGGCCAGTGACCTACAGAAAAAAAATCAATCTGGTGCCATTTACAAAAAATAATTTAATTTTGGTTTTATTTTCCTCAGAGAAAAGTAAAATGTTCAACTCACTTGTCTCTTAAATTAAGAACAGGAAATATAAAACTTTATTTAATAAGTATAATAAATACTGAGAATATATAGATGAATGAATGAATGAATAAGGCATTTATTAAGCCCTTACTATGTACAAAGTACTATGCTAAGTGCTGAATATACAAATAGAAAAGTAAGACAGCCCCTGCTCCCAAGGATCTCACATTCTTTTGGAGAAACAACAAATATAAGTTTTAGCTTCAAGCCAGATGGAAAAGTCCCATGGTCCTTAATGTGCAGCAACAAGGCAAATATTAATGTCTCTTCTTTAATGTTATTTCCATTGATAAACCGATATCAATTTCTGGTATAGAAACATTAGTCAGTGCCAGGCACTTTGGTGGCAAGTGCTTTCCTTGCCGGGTCTTCAATAGCTGTGACTGTGGCCCCTGCAGGAGCAGTCACCAGGCTTCATCTCCACAGGGCTGGTTTTCCAAGATGGTGGCTGAGGGCACTGGGCTAGAAGATTACTATTCCCAAGGCACTTGGGTTCAGGGTCCTACACGGTCTCTCTTAGGGACTCAGAAGAGATGGTGGTCCAGGTGCTCCTGACCTGCCTGGTACATGATACCTCCTGTCTCTCCCCAAGGATGCATTGTTGCTTTACTGGGCCCTTCTGCCTTTGACATGGCTATTGGTTGACAATTGGTGGGGATGGCTGGCCCCTTCTCCATTGGAGTTGCTTTCCCAGTTAATGACTATGAACCTAGGCTGGAAGATGGTAGTCTGGGAGATGCTGCCATTCTCAGGGCTCCTTTGCCTATCTGACTTTTGGATGGATGGATGGCCACATTGGTGGCTCCTCCTTGGGAATAGTAATCTTCTAGTGGAGTGCCCTCAGAACCCTCTTGGCAAGCAAGCCCTGTGGAGATGAAGCCTGGTGACTGCTCCTGCAGGGGCCACAGCCACAGCTACTGAAGACCCAGCAAGGAAAGCGCTTGCCACCAAAGTCCCTGACACTAACAAATGTTTCTATACCAGAAATTGATGTCGGTTTATCAATGGAAATAACATTAAAGAAGAGACATGGTTATGACCTGGTATGGATATGACCTTGACTTATTAAAGATTATTCTAAGAGAGCATGAACTCTGGCAGGTCTTACCAAGATAGAAAGACTTCAAGGATATACCCAATGATATACTATATTTCTGTCATTGAATGATCAGTCAAGGTAATTCTGAAGAAGTTCATGACTAGTTTAGTCATAGGTGATAAATTATTAGCGATAGAAACTCTTGAAGACAATTCACTAAAAGAAGGGCTGCAATCTGTTTTTGTGGAAAGAGCAATCATATCCTTGAAATATTAAACAAATATATATTCATCCCAGGATTTATTCTTATAATTTTGTTTTTAAATAAAATCCTGTTATCTTATTCTCATTTGCTTATGAGAGTGTAACCTCATTGAGGGACTAAACTGTGTCTTGTTTTAAGGTAGAGGCTCTGATTGACTAGTTCTTCCCTCCTTCTGTGTCTAGAAAACTCGCACTTCCCATTCCCTAAATCCTAGAGTTTTAGAACCTAAGTTTGTCAAAGTGAAGATGATTTTCCCCTTCTCTCTCTCTCTCTCTCTCTCTCTCTCTCTCTCTTTGTCTCTCTCTCTCTCTCTTTGTCTCTCTCTCTCTCTCTCTGTCTCTCTCTATCTGTCTCTGTCTCTCTTTCTCTCTGTGTCTCTCTCTCCCCTCCCTAATCAGCTCAACCCTGTCCTGCCTTAGCCTTTCTCCTCTGCCCTAGTTTTTTCTAACACGCCCTCAGGAATACGTGGTTTAGCCAATTAAGGTCAGAGGTTGATGGTACAAGCTGAGATAGAGAGATACATGGCAGGAGACAGTGAGGAAAAGGAAAAAATAAAGGGAGAGATATGAAAGAGAGAAAGACTTTCTATATGGAGTTTTAAAAATGTCTTTTCACCATAACAGAATAAAATGTGTTGAATTTGTTTATTTATCCCTAGTGCTTAGCACTGTGCCTGGACACAGCAGGTGCTAAATAAACGCTTGTTGAACTAAATTCAATTAACTCTTATAGCATAAACAAAAGAATTGAGACAAACTGAGGCCTAGGAAAGACCTCGATTTATAAAGGTCAAGGTCATCCATTGCATCCCCAGCTATCACCAATCTCTTGATTTTTATCTTGCCACTACACTTTGATGACTCTAGAAGAGAGAGTGAGGCTGATGACTTTGCACAGCCCTGCCTCACTTAAATCCATTTCAGGTCTGAGTCAACACATCACCCAAGTGGTGCCATTGGTCCTCTTCTAGAATGAAGGACAAAAGCAAACAAAATCAAGTAAGTCAACTAGCAAATAGTCAAAACATAATAGATTTTTCTGAGCTAATTTTCTACTCAGTAGCTTTTTACAGCCTTCCTCCTGAGGCTAAGGAGCAGATGACTTAGGATGCTTGAGGTTGGGGGCAGGGACATATATGGTGGAATTAGGGCTTTTTTTTTCTTTTGATTTAGACCTTAATTTCTCATGCACAGACATCGTCACCAGGATCTCCCCATTCAAGATGGAACTGCTTTGTAGCCCCACAAACTCTTTGCTGAATGTGTATGAGCTTCAGATCTGACATTAACCATGCCTAGACAACTGAAGTTTGACTCTTCCTCATTAGGGTTGGACAGATCATCAATATCAAGGCTAAAGTCATCAGAGCATTCAACACTAGCATGGAGGTAAGAAGTTCTATTATCTGATTCAAGAAATTTCAAAGGACTCATGATAGAAAATGCTATCCACATCCAGAGAAAGAACTGATGGAGTCTGGATGCAGATCAAAGCATATTATTTTCACTTTCTTTGTTTTTCTTTTCCCTGTTTTTTTCCCTTTTTTCTGTTTCTTCTTTTACAGCATGACTAATGTAGAAATATGTTTAACATGATTGCACATGTATAACCTATATCAGATTGCTTGCTATCTTGGGGAGGGGGAAGGGGAGGAGAGGAGAAGAATTTGGAACTCAAAATCTTATAAAAAATGAATATTGAAAACTGTCTTTCCATGTAATTGGGGAAAATAAAATACTATTTACATTTTTTAAAAGTTCTGTTTTCTCACGCTTCACAGGTCCTTTTCTTATTCTTGAGAAAAAGTTAATGGGATCATATCTTTATTAAAATATATCTGATACTAGTGCTTGGAAAACCCAAAAGATAAACCTACACTGACGGGCAAACTCACAGATACTAAGGGACCAAATTATCTCCATTTTATATTGAAATCATCTGTCTTTCATATGCCAAGAAGTAAAAGCAATATATGCGTAGAGGGTAGAGGGACTCCCCCTGCTTTCTTCGGCTTCCTACAAAGCAGGAGGGTCTCATTCTCTGTCTCCTTTAGTTTAATTTGAGCCTGCTCTCCATCCCCTTTCTCACTTTCCTTATGCAGACCAGAAGCCCTTGAATCTGTGAAAAGCAAAGTAACTATTCAAAGGGTATTTCTGTGACCTTAAGGGGTTGAGTTTTACTGGACACTGCAGCTACAGTATTCTATGGAGCATTCAGAGCTTCTGACGGCTCTTTTTAAAATAGTCTTAGTTGAATGATATTTCTTTGTTTATTTTTGTTGGTACCTGTTATTTCCTTGGTGTAGGGAACTACTTCCACTAATAAAGATAGATTGGCAACGGTTCTGCAATTTATGGTCTTAGAGAATTGCTTGGGATTTTGAGAAGTTATATAACTTGCTCAGAGTGATACAACTAGTCTATGTCAGGAGTGCTACTTGACTCCCCATCTTCCTAACTCCATGATCAATTCTCTATCTACTAATAGGGCAATGCCTCTCTGTCCTGGCTGTGCTGACATAGTCCCATTATCTGTGATATTTTGGGTAGCCTTTGGGCTCATAAGCCTTGTAGGAACCAGTTGAGGAATAGTTAGATGGCGGTTGTGGTGGATTTGCATTGATCTGGCTATGCCCTCTCACCCAGTTTCCATTGCTACCATCAATCTATGTTTGTGTGTCAATTGACCTTGGAATAAAACTAAATTAGTTAGCTATTTGAGAGGAAAGTCGGGGAAGTAGGGACCTTTACCGATTTCCCAACACCCCTGGGTTTTTGTTTTTAAACTTGATGAGATTTTTTTGAGACTGAGTGTCCCTATATCACCCAGACTGGAAGTTCATCAGCCACTCACAGGCCTGATCCCACTATTGATCAGCATGAGAGCTTTAACCAGACCCATTTCTGACCTGGTTTGGTTTGCTCTCCTTAGACATCCTGGTGACCCTGTGTACCTTACAAAATTGGTGCTGTACTTGGTGCAGACTCATGGATTGGCTTTAGCCACCCTGTCACTTAGCATTCCTGAGCTCAAGAAATCCACTAGCTTCAACACCCGTCCCCTGCCCCCATCAAAGATTACAGGCTTGTGCCAGCATGCCCTGCCTGTTTCTGTTTTTAGGTAAATTCCTATTAATCTTATTTTCTTCTCATTCCAGATGGTTGTTGATAGCTTGGTTTCATCCTTTGTAAACTCGTTTGTTACCTGAGGCCACTTCCAGATCCTCCCTCTACTGCTATTACTGTATAACTTCTCTTCCAACACCTGATTTAGATCCTTGTTGCTGTAATCCAGGGCTTCTTAAAGTTTTTCTACTTGTGACCCCTTTTTGTGTTTTGGCAGCTTTCATTGGTATTGTGTGGCTTGAGGGCATGCGCAGTGCAAAGTGAGCATGCTTTGTGTTCAGAACCAAGGCTGAAGTGAAGTTGTATGATACAGCACAGGCAAGGGACAGATGCCAGAAACACCTCGGATTCATTATGCATTTGATTTTTAATTAATTTTCAGTTGTGCATTCAGAAACTTTTTACTGTTGCCAAATTTTTTGAAACCCCTTATGGGGTTATGACCCATAGTTTAAGAAGCACTGTGTAATCCACCAGTCAGATCACTCTCCTTTCTCAAGGAAACAAATATTTATTAAGTACTTGCTATATGCAGTCACTGTGCTAAGCACTTTATAAAGATAATCTCATTTGATCCTAATAACAGCCATGGAGATAGGTACTATTAGTAACCTCATTTTTACAGTTGAGGACTCTGAGGTAGACACAAGTTAAGTGACTTGCCCAGGGTCACACAGCTAGTAGATGTCTGAGGTCAGATTTGAATTCAGGTCTTCAGTGCCTAGTTTAGTTTTTCTTTATATTTCAATCCCTACCCTAAACCTTGGAAACTTCAATATGTGCTTTATATCTCCTTGAGTCAGATTGCTCCCATCGGCCTTCCAATTCAACAAACTTATCCACCACCATGACCTACACCTTCTGTCTAGTTCGGCTATGGATATGTAGGGATCATCTGTGAGGTCTCACCATCTTGCATGATTGTGTTGCCTTCGTGGTCTCAGACTAGGAAATTCCCTTCTCTTATCATAATCTCTACCCTTCTGTTTCTCCCTCTTCATTATTTTTCCCAAATCTGTTTTTTGTTCTTCATGTGTCATCAAGTCTACCCATCTTTCCCTGTTCTCTTAGTCCATCACTTTTGGACTCACTTTCCTTCATTTACAGTCTCAAGTAAATAAGCAACTAGTTCTACTATTCTCTTCCTGTTGGAAGTCTTATCTTCCTCTAAGGCTCAGCTCAGGTACTAATCCTCCAAATTTTTATATCTCTATAGATAGGAACAGTTTCATTTTTTTTCTCTCTGTATCTCTAGTGCCAAGTACAGTGTTTTGTACATAGTAGGTACTTAATATGGTTTGTGGGGTATTTTAAAAAGAGCTGTCAGAAGCTTTGAATGCTCCATAGAATACTGTAGCTGTAATATCCAGTAAAACTAACCCCCCTAAGGTCACAGAAATACCCTTTGAATAGTTGCTTTGCTTTTCAGAGACTCCAGGGCTTCTGGGGTCTGCATAAAGAAAGCAAGAAAGGGAAAGCAGAGCAAGTTCAAGTTAAACTAAAGGAGACAGAGAGTGAGGCCCTCTTGCTTTGTAAGAAGCCCATAAAAGAAGAGGGAGTTCCTCTACTCTCTGTGCATATATTTCTTTTACTTGGTGTATGAAAGACAGATGATTTCAACATAACATAGATTTATGGTTGATTGGGGATTCTGGTTAGTTGGATTTTGGTTACTCAAAGATTTTAGAGTATAATTAGTATTAATGAGTCCAATGACTTGAAAGGAAGACTAGATTGCTGATTGGTTTTGTATATGATGATGATGACACAAAAATGAATGTCCATCATTTGTAGCTAATGAAAATGTACATTCACTGAACAATGAGCCCATTTCTCCCAATTCTGGGAGGCATGTAAGGTTGGACATCCGGAGTTGCAAAGAGGGTGGTTCTTATTAACTAGAATCCAGATGTTCGTGTTTCTGCCCTCACCTTTGTCCAGTTTATGCCTGAGGGGCTAAGTTTCTACATCCTTCAGATTCAGGAAGAATCAGTCCTTTATTTTATATATCATAGCTCCCTGGGAAATGTATTGCCCTTCTGCGTCCAGTGCCTTACAAACTGAAACAAGACAAGCGGCTCACAGGTGATTGAGAGAAATAAGTTGGTGCATTTGTCAGAGTGAACTATGCTATAGGACATTCTAGAAAACGAAGCTGAGAAGAAGAGCTGTTTTTTTTTTTTTAATGCTTCAGTCTAATACTGAATATAGTCGGTGCTTAATAAATGTTGACTGATTGATAGGCACTAAAGTTCTCTTTCTTTTCATTTTAGGTTGGCATTAAAGTCATAGTACAAGACACATTTACTAGAACTCAGAAACTCATTAGTGTGGCATTTTCTACGTTTGTAGCTAAACCAGTTGGAGAAGAAAAGGTAAATTATCTCACCCAAGAAAAATCTGGTATGTAACTCAGAGATATATTCACAAACTGAATTGGCATTGTTAGTCTATCAACATTCCTACTAAGATATGGAGCTTTATTATTTGTCAATTTTTCTTGGAAGTCATTCTGAAATGATACTTAGCCTGTAGGATCTCTTTAGCCAGATAGCAAAAATAGCACTCGGCAATTTGTGGAAGAGGCAGAAAAAAAGCCTTGTATTTTAAGGATCTGAAGGTCAAACCAGGCCTTCAAAAATATTGCTTACTGGTTTGGTCATTTCTCGTGGCTCTGTAATTCAAAACTGACTCTTTTTTTAAAAGTAAGAGCAATTTAGTAAGCAGTTTCATGTTATGGTCCAATCATTTTTGATACCTTAAGGAAAAAAAAAACAGTCCAAGTTGCTGAGTTACTGAAGTTTAAAAATAAGCTCCTAGGCATGTGTGGTAAATATTCCCATAAAAGAAGCACATGGGTCTAATGTGCCTTCACAGCAGGAGAGCCGGGCTGCTGGCACCATACTGCTCAGGAGGGAGCCTTGTCTTTCGGCTGCTGTGGATACAAATTTCTACTTCCTTGGCTTTCCATTTTTATGGTCAGGTGGGATATAGTCATACGGCAAAGCCACTTAAATGTTTCCTTTTAAAAATGTTAATTTTTTTCTATTTCATATTTAAATCTTACCCTGTAAAGTTCCCCTTTTTCCTCCCTCTCTTTGAAGCTTCCTGGTGCTTTTTCTTCTGTCTTGTCCTTGGGGCCCCATGATTTGTCTTTTCTTCTCTGAAACCTGTCTTCTGCCTGTCTCTCTGTCCATCTCTTTAAATACAGAAATGGGAGAAGGAACAATCTTTATGGTGCTGGCCAGTGACTACAGCAGGGCCTCAACCATGTTGTTTTTCCTTTCTGATGCATTCCCCAAAACAGGTCAGGCAAATGTCAATCATAGCAGGGCACCATTCAGAATCTTCAGGGCTAGCAAAAGGGCCAGCCTGGCCTTTGAATTCAGAGTACCTGGGCCCAAATCCAACTCTGGATACTTGGTATGTGTGTATGTAGCATTCAGCAAACCTTACAGCACCATAACAATACCACCTACTGGGGAGAAAGAGGAAGGGAACAACGATTTGTTCAGTGCCTACTATATACAGGGCACTATTCCTAAGCATTTTACAAATATTAACTCATATCTGCCAGCCAGTATTAAAGCAAAGAAGAGTCTGTCCATCAATAAGCATTTATTAAGCACCTACTATGTGCCGAGTGCAGTGCTAAACACTGGACATACAAAGAAAGGCAAAAACACAGTCTCTTCCCTCAATTTGCATAATCTGCCATCAAAAGAATTTACAGTCTAATGAGGGAGATACGTCAATAACCAGGGACGTATTAGATATATCCAGAGTTGATGGAATTGTCCAGATGCCCTAGTGGCATCTGATTTAGCTTGACAGCTCATTCACATTCATCGGAATTCACTTGAGGATGGAAGTATCAGTTTTTTGACTGAGTTTTGCTTTATGTTTAAATCCTGACTACATCAGAGAACATCTCTGAATTTAAAGTCCCCTTTGCCTAGGAACTATATGGCAGGAAGTGGGTGGGGCAGGGTTTGAAGCATGGCCCACCCTCTTTCTGAATGCAAGAAGTAGTATCCAGACATCTCATCCCTGTAGTCAGCATCCAAAGATGAGCAGCCTCAACCTCTTCCCCTCGCTTCCCCCTCCTTCCCTAAAATTCCACAGAATGGGAGTATGTTAAATTGGAATGCTTAGATCCCATCCAGACTGAACCCTAAAAAATTGCTTTTGAAAATCTTCTCTTAGAAGCCTGGTCACTTGGGGTGTCACCATAATTCTTTGGTTTAGCTCGCTCCTTATCTTAAAGCACTTAAATTCCAATTCATTCACGTGACATTGAGACTGTAAGTGAAAGATCAATGGCCTGGTTTGGTCTTAGAGCCCTTCATGACCCAGAGCAGTTACTGTTTTCTGTCCAAATTGATAGTAGGTGTGGTTCCAGATGAAATTGGCAATGATTAACTAGGCCCAGCTCAGTTAGGCAGGCCTTCAAGCTGGGGAGCATGACACTATAACTGTGCACCCATCAAATGGCCAGATATCGCAAAAGTCAGGTAGCACTTAACAATTTTTTTCTAATCGCCACCAAGCCTTTATTAAGTGCCTACTATGTGCGAGGCAGGATACAACACAGTCATTATTTTTGTTTGCATAATAAAAAAATATGACCATAAATGACCATGACAGTTCTATTCTGGATGCTATCCAAACATGATGTACTCCATTAGGAAGACTTGTCATCCCACTATGCATTTATACATTAATTCATAGCTCAGCACTTACTTCTAAGACATTCCAGTTCCCTGAAATCTTTTTTAAAAATCAGAATAGTAATTATATTATGAAAACTATTTCTGGCAGTAAAAAAAGATAAACTCCCAATTTAAATGTCTTATGCTAATAATAGTTTGTTTAGTGTTTTCAAATGATTTACATCTATATAGATGAAGGAACCAGAGATGAGACTCCATTCCCCTACCTCCATTCTTTTGCACATAGTATTATCCTTCGTGCCCAGAATGCTCCCCATTGTCAGTTTCACCTCTTAAGATCCCTGACTCCCTTAAAAAATCAGCTCAGGTACCATATTTTCCATGAGATACCTCCCCCAGAATTGTTTATATTTATTTATCCATGTGCATGTTATTTCCCTAAAGCAAAATGTAAGCTGCTTGAAAGAAGGAGACATTTTCATTTTTATCTCTGTAGTTCACATGAATATGGCACTTAAGGTTTTGAAAATACATATATTGTGTCATTTGATCCTAACAACAACCCTAAGAGGGATGTTACTAATATTGTTGTTATGTTATCTACAAAATCCCCATTTTACAGAAAAATAAACTGAGAATGAGAGAAGTCAAATGACTTGCCCAGAGTCACACAGGTAAGGAAGTATAAGTTCCCTATCTTTCTGACTCCAAATCCAGCACTTTATTCCTAGTGCTTAGCACAGTACCTAGCATGTAGTTAGGGTTTAATAAAATGCATGTTGTGTTTAATTTGATTTAATCTGAAAAACTTTTCGTAACAAAATTTTGTCAGGAGTTTGTTATGTGGGGACAGCTAGGTGGCTCAGTGGATAGAGCTCCGGCCTTGGAGTCAGGAGGACCTGAGTTCAAATTTGACCTCAGACACTTGACACTATGCTATGTGACCCTGGGCAAGTCACTTAACCCCGACTGCCTCACCAAAAAAAAAAAAAACAAAAACAAAAACCAAGAGTTTGTTATGCGGAGGCTTATTTAAGTAGTTTTGATAGACTGAACTTCAGAAGACAAAAAAAAAAGTGACTCATTAAGCACCATATAAATGTGAACTACAAAGGCAGAAATGAGAATAATGCCTTCCCTCATGGGGTATATGTTCTACTGCGGGGGGGTGGGGGGGAGAATGAATACACAGGAAAATAAATACAAAATACATTTTTGGGGGAGGAGGGAGCCGGCATGAGCAGATAGAAGGATCAGAATAGGTCTCTTCTGGAACACAGCAGCCCTTGAGCTGAGCTTCGAAGGGAAGTAGGAAGGCTAAGAGGCAGAGTTAAGGACAGAGAGCATGGGGGACAGCCTACGCAAATGAAGAGAGGTAAGAGATGGGAGGTCTTTCCCTTCCCTTTTTCCCATTCCCTCCTTTCATTTAAAAATCAACACAAATTTAATAAGCAATTTGAAAACAGAAAATAAAACTATTTTTAGCCTAAGGCAATTAAATTGGCATCCTTTTTTCCTACCAGAGAAACACATTTTGAAAAGTGCTTCAAATATTATGTTTGAAATTATGTGCAGCTAAACCATTTAGCAAAATGATCCAGGCTACCCATTTTGATTTTGTAGGTTCATCTAAAGCCAGTGACCCTCCTGACAGAACAAGATCAAGTGGAGCATGATCTGGCTTCGGAGAGAAGGAAAGTCAGACTCCAGCAGGAGGACACCTTCCAAAGCCTGATGAAGGACAGCAGCAAGTTTGATGGTTAGTAAGGCTCCTCATAGACACCCTGATTGAATGGCTACCAAAGGAAGAGGATTATGTTTCAGGAGCCCATGCATGTTCACTCCATGTTGTAATTCAACACTCCTAGTGCAGCCTGAACCAGATTTAGACGTAATTGAGAAATGCTTAAAAAATAAAGAAAAATACAAGAAAACATAGATAATATTACATTTTAAAACCAGATCAATATGTGGCATGCAGGGATCCTTATGTACAGATTAGTAGCCTCTGTTTTTATTTGAGTTTGACACCTCTGGTCTACAGCAGGGCTTCTTAAACTTTTTCCACTTTCCACCCCTTTTCATTTTGGCAGCTGTTTATTGGCGTTGCATGGCCTGAGGGCATGCACAGTGCAAAGTGTGCATGCTGTGTGTTCAGAACAGAGGCTGCAGTGAAGTTGTGAGATCTAACACTGCCTAGCACTGCCAGAAACACCTTGGATTCATTACGTGTTTGATTTTTAATTAATTTTTGGTCATTGCGCTTTCAGAACTCTTTCACTGTTGCCAAATTTTTGTGACCCCGTATGGGGTCGTGACCCACAGTTTAAGAAGTGCTGGTCTAGACTCGGGGGTGTGGAACCTGTGGCCTTGAGGCCATGTGTGGCCCTCTAGTCCTCAGGTGCAGCCCTTTGGCTGAATCCAAACTTCACAGAACAAATCCCCTTAATAAGAGGGGATAATAATAAAACTTGGACTCAGTCAAAAGGCTGCACCCAAGGACATAGAGGGCCACATGTGGCCTCAAGACCACAGGTTACCCACCCCTGCTCTAGAGAATACTCCCTAGCTATAGGCAGAGCTGGATTTTCCATTTAAGTGAAGCTCATTTGCTCATCCCTTTGGGATCTCTGTCAAATCCAGGCCCAGGCCACGTGGCTCATAAAGAAGGCACCATCTTAAGCATGCTTTGGGTGCAGTATGCCAATTATCTTTCTTTTTCCAGTTTTACAATTCTAACCTCCTATTGTTACCTACGTTAAACCCCAGCTTCCTCCCTAAGGACCCTCCAGGACTTACTTTTCATTCCATTTGCAGACCTGGAATGATTGATAATACCTAGAGTTCAGGAAGGATCACACTTTTCTGCCCATTGGCTTACTCTATCCCAGCTCTAGGTGCTCTTATGTTCCAGAAGGAACTTAGACAGTATTTCTGAGAATTTTTTGTTTTGTTCAGTTATTTCAGTCATGTGTAACTCTTCGTGACCCCATTTGGGGTTCTCTTGACAAAGATACTGGAGTGGTTTACCATTTCCTTCTCCAGCTTCTGGGGATTATGGAGTCCTTGACTAGAAATTGGAGTCATTAAGAATACCAATGGTGCACTCCAGATTATCACTGCTGAAAGTGGAAGATACGAGTTTCAAAAGAGAAGGGCTAAGTTGGGAAGTGAACAGAGACTCTAGATTTGGAGAGAATAGATTTCCAAGTGTTCAGAGAAAGGATACGTAGGATTCTATCGTCTAAAATTCTTTAGGGGAAGTTGGCTGATGAATCTCTCAAAAATAACAGAAAATATGAAGACAATTGAGATGAGGAAGAAAAGGGAGCAGTTGCCCAAGGAGACTGATATAGATTGCTAGGGAACTAATAAGCAATTTGGTTTAAAAAAACTGTGTAGAATTTGGAAGCAAGGGTTAGAGACTATGGATCAATACGAAAGTCCTGTAAGAATAGTGTCAGGAGTATTAAAGCTCAAAATGAGTTGAGGCTGGCAATGAAAAACAAATGCTAAGCAAAACCACAACCAAAAAAGCTTTTCCAGACCAAAGACAGGATAGGTCCAGTCTTCCAGGTGGACATGATGAAGATAACAAACACCAGAAGCCCAACTACTCTGCTCATTATTTTGCTTTTGTTTTCTCAAGGAAGGAGAATGATCTTTGGAATGGGGAACAGAGAGGAAAAATAGGTTACAGGATGCTTAGACAAAAAATACCAATTGGTAAGAGAGTACTTAGTTGCCCTCAATGAATTCAAGTATGTAAACTAGATTCCAGTGTGGAACTAGTGAATGTAATTACTAATTAATCATCAGTGAGATTTGTGAAATTATAGAGAATTGGAGAGGCTCCCCAGAACAGGTGGGAAAATGTCTTGTATTTTCAAAATACAAGGTATATACAAATGATTATAAGCCAATGAATTTGACTTCAATCCCTGACAAAATTCTAGTTTATATTATTGAAGAGATTGTTTGAACATTCAGAGGGGGACATAGTGATCACTAAGAACCAGCCTGACTTTTTCAAGAAAAATTGTGCTAGACTAGATGCATTTCCTTTTTTACAGGGTTACCATCAGGAGACTTGTCAGGGGAATGTAGACAAGAAACACCTGGCTTTCAGAAAAGCATTATAAAAAACATAAAGTCCTCCTTGACATTTTTGTGAATGAAATAGAGAGATAAAGACTAAATGACAGTGTGATTAAACAGGTTCAGAACTGTTTGAATGACCAGACACAAAGACTAGTGAGTGTTTTGTTTTGGTTTATTTTTCCCAAAGAGAATTCAGTGTTAAGACAGCTAAGTGGTGCAGTGGAGCATGGGCATGGAGTCAGGAAGACCTGAGTGCAAATCTGGCTTCAGACACATACTAGTTGTGTGACTCTGGGCAAGTCACTTAACCCTGTTTGCCTCAGTTTCCTCTGTAAAATGAGCTGGAGAAGGAAATGGCCAACCGCTCCAGTATCTCTTCCAAGAAAACCCAAATGGGGTCATGAAAAGTGGACATAACTGAAACAACTGAACAACAACGAAAGTCAGTGTTAATTGGAGGGAAGTATCTAATGAACTGTCCCTAAGCTATACAATAATTTTATTCCTGTCTTAGACTCTATCAAAGGCAAGGTGTAATGTCTAACAAATGTGCAGATGGCATAAAATTGAGAAGGACAACACATACAGCATCCAACCAAGCTAGATTATGGATCACTTCTAATAAAATTACATTTAATTGGGATAAATATAAAGTCTTGTTCCTGAGCTCAAAATAATAGCTTCACAATAGTATGGAGGAAATGTGTCTAGACAGATGACAGAAAATTATTTGGGAGTTTTAGCATTCTGGAAGTTCAATATTTGTCAACAGTATAACATGCTAGCCAAGAAGGCCGATACAATCTTGGGCTATATTAAGAGAGACATAGAGACCCCAAGGAGGGAGCTCATAGTACTGCTGAATTCCGTTCCAGTCAAACCATGTCTAGAGAATTGTGCTCAGTTCTAAAAGTCAAATCTTAGCAAATATATTGAAAATCTTGGGCAAGTCCCAGGGAGAGTGACCAGAGTGGCAAAAAGACCGGTGACCTCACCTCTACCTTGTGGCTTCTCTGGATTTCTTCAAGCCCAAGCTAGATTCCCACTTTCCACAGGAAGCCATTCCCAAACTCCCTAAATTCTAGTGCCTTGCCTTTGTTGATTATTTCCAATTTAACTTTTACCAAGCTTATTTGTACATAGTTGTTTGCATTTGGTTTCTCCCCATTAGATTGTGAGCTCCTCAAAAGGAGGGATAATCTTACCTTTCTTTGTATCCCTGCTGCTAAACATGGTGCCCGACATATAATAAGCACTTAATAGTGCCTATTATAGACTGATCGAGTGACACTTGGGAGTAACAGGACTGTTATCTTCAGATAGTTAAAGGGTGGAAGTGGCATTAGTCCTGTTCTGCTTGGCTTTGGAGGATCAAACTAGAAGCAGATCTTCCCAGAGGCAGATTTCAGCACAATGTACGGAAACATTTCCTAATAATTAGCATAGTCCAAAAACTGAATAGGCAGCAATGACTATAACCTTAGACAAAGGAGTCATGCATTAACCCTATCACCACCATGAAGCCAGCTAGCCCCAATACACCCCAATGCAGTTCCTCACACTGTTGAATCTTTTTCTAAAAAATAGTATTTTATTTTTTTCCCAATTCCATTCCAAGACAACTTTTAGCATTCATTTTTACAAAATTTTGAATTCCAAATTTTTCTCCCTGCCTCTTCTCCTCTCTTTCTAAAATGACAGTTCATTTGATATGGTTATACATGTGCTATCATGTAAAACATATTTCCATATTAGTCCCAGTTGTAAAAGAAAAAAACAGATCAAAAGGAAAAAAACTGTGAAAAAGTAAAAAAATTATGCTTCTATCCGCATTCAGAGCTCATCAGTTCTTTATCTGGATGTGGATAACATTTTGCTTTGTGAGTCCTTTGTACTTGTCTTAGATCATTGTAGTGCTGAAAAGAGCTGAGTCATTCATAGCTGATCATTACACAATGTTGTTGATGCTGTGTACAATGTTTTCCTAGTTCAGTTCATTTCACTTTGCATCAGTTCGTATAAGTCTTTTCAAGTTTTTCTGAAATCAGTCTATTCATCATTTCTTATTGTACAATAGTATTCCATTACATTCATATACCACAGCTTGTTTAGCCATTCCCCAACTGATGGACATTCCCTCAGTTTCTAGCATTTTGCCACCAAGAAAAAGGCTGCTATAAATATTTTTGTACATGTAGGTCCTTTCCCCCTTTTTATGATCTCTTTGGGATGTAGACCTAGTAGTGGTATTGCTGGATCAAAGGGTATACACAATTTGGTTGCCCTTTGGATATAGTTCCAAATTGCTCTCCAGAATGGTTGGACCAATTCACAGCTCCACCAGTAGTCCATTAATGTCCCAATTTTCCCACATTCTCTCCAGCATTTATAATTTTCCCTTTTTTGTCATACTAGCCAATTTGATAGGTGTGAGGTGGTACCTCAGAGTTGTTTTAATTTGCATTTCTCTAATCAAAAGTAATTTAGAGCACTTCTTCATATGCCTATAGATAGCTTACATTGGTTTTGTTTGTGCAAAAGCTTTTTCATTTAATATAATCAAAATGTCTATTTTACATTTTATAATGTTCTCTATCTCTTGTTTGGTCATGAGTTCTTCCCTTCTCCAATGTTGCATCATTTTAAAAATGCTAAAAA